CGTTATGACCCAAATGGTTTGACCAGTCAATTGAATTTTCGCAGGTACGATTCGTCATAAGTTCCTGAGGTCATTGTTGCCTTTCTGGTCAAGTGCATTGCCAACTCTACCAGTAACCGCCCCTCCAAGAAAAGATGCATCCCACACAGATGACTCCTCAGAGGGCCGTACAAGACACCATAAGTCTTCAAGAATGGATCCCAGAAAACTCCTGTTAGTTATAGCTATCATGTAAGAAAAATTCCTTTTTCCTCAATGTCAATCTGCCCAAGCTTCTAAATTGCACAAATCAAAATGGAAATGGTCTGAATCTGATTCTGATATAGATTTTTGTCTTTATTTAAGCAAATGTTTTGTTTTAGCAATAAAGAGTTTTCGGGTGCAGGGCTTGCATGGCCACAATGGGCATATTGTATTACAGAATTGCACAAAGGGATTTAGGTGAAGATTTGCTCTATGACGAGGTCCAGTGATAAAACGGTTTTCACCAAACTGATTTCGGTACACCCTCGATCGACTGCCACTATGTAATGTTCTTTCGGCCACTCGTTCTTTGTGCTCTGTATGTTTTCACGTCAAAAGATCATTTTTTTTTTTTTGTGGCTCAACTCTGACTGTACTTTGTTTCTGCATAACCGAGTTTGACAAGCTGTTGAATGTAGAAGGTATTCATTCACTCACCAGAGATTGCAACCTGTGACCTCTTTTAATGTTTAGAAATTACACTTTCTTTACCCGAATTGACTGTATCTGTCAGTTTCTTTCTTTATTTTTTGGTCTCAACTTCAAAAGAAGAGATTTTCATGCCCAAGTCGGGTCATGGTTTAACCGTTTAAGTGCTATCTTAATTTTATTTTTATGTTGCTTTTGTACCCTATACTCTATAGTCTGAATAAATGATCAGATTTTTCGATGGTAAATTCAGGTTCATGCATTTAGTTTTTTATTTAATTAACGTGAAAAAAAAGGTGCATATATTTTGTTTTATTGAGATTTTATAATGTAGATTTAAGATTTATAGCAGTTTGGTATGGTTGGTTGTTTGAGTTTATATTAAAATAATATTTTTTAATAAAATAGTTAAAGTTTATCTGATGTAAAAGTAAGAAATTATGGGGGTGATTGTTTATGTTTTGAATAGTAAAAAATCTAGAATTTTTTAATTATGGTTAAGTTTAAGAAAAAGTGGTATGGTTAGTTGTTAGTGGATATATTAAAATAGTATTTAAAATAAAATAGTTAAAGTTGATTTGATGTAAAAGTAAGAGAAAATGATTGGAAGTGATAGTTAGTTAAAATTAGTTAAAATTATGTGAGTAGATGAATAGTGAATTAAAGTTGATGTGATATATAATAATGATTTGTTGATGTTATTTAATTATATAATAATATTGGAGATAGTGTGGTTGAGTTAAAATTGAGTTAAATTTGAATTTGAGTAAAAAAAATTACTGTACAAATGGTATGCAATCACCCCCATAGTGACTTGATAGTTATATAACTTACTTGAGTGGATTAATAGTAAAACAAAGTTGACGTGATATATAAGGATGATTGATTAATATTGTTTGATTATATAAACTAGTACAACGCCTGTGTATTATACTGGTGCTTGCTAATTATTTTCTTAAAATCTAAAATTAATGAGAAAAATTAGTTGAAAGTTTAAATACATTTTATAAAAATATATATATTATTATATATTTAATATGACACTTTTTATTTGTGCGGTTTACGTGTATTATATTATAATAATTTTTTTAACTTAAACATATAACTACATTAAACATAAATATATCTATTGAGAAATTATTTTATTTTTCTCTTGAATTTTAATAAATATTATTATTTTATTATTATAAAGATAAATACAATTTGTTTATTTCATACATACAATATGGATGTCAAATCGAAGATCATCAAAAGATGATTAATTTGATATGTTATATATGTCAAACCTATAAGAAATACAAAAGTTATAAAATTTTAAAATACATTTACAATTCAATAGTTAATTGAAGGAAACAAATCAAAAGTCAGAGATATATTAGTCACTTAGTGTAAAATTACAAAGAATTAAAGGGTTATATTAGTACAAGTGATATTAAAATATCTAATTTAGCTAAATAATATTTATGGAATGTCCGAACCTAGATTATTAATTATTAATATATTAATATTATTTGTCCAAACCTAATTACGAAACATAATTTTTTGCCAAGTAGGATTCCGAAGCACCAGAAGCAACCACGTAGGCTCAGTGTATTCAGGAATTATATATAGGGGTGATAGTATTGAAGATAGTGAGGTCGAGTTAAACTTGAGTTAAATGCGTGTTTGGATTTTTTATTTTTTTTCAATTGAGTTAGCATTTGAAAGG